TATAGGAATAACATTAGTCTATCCCATATTAAAAGATACACAGAGGTTTTTTGAAGTAGCAAGGCTGTACTCTAAGAAAAATTGAAAGGAGCCCAGTGCTCCGGACCCGTGAAATCCTGAGTGCCCAGCACATGATTTCTATGAAAAAATTTCCTAGTTGCCCCGGAACAATAGTTAAGCACCATGGGCCAACTGGGTGCTGGTAGAGCACAACCTTGAGTAGTGAAACATAAAGCAGCAGTGATGAGCAGGGGCCATGAAACTATCTCATACATGTACATAACCCTCAGTTGCAGCAAATATTTCAGTGACCAAGCCTTGGTGATTATTCATTTTTAACTTGCAATCTGTCAGTCACATCACTTCAGTGATTCAGTGCATGAGTGCCCAAGTGTTGGAGTTTACATCGCAAATTATGATATACTATAATTATAATTATTATAAGTATTCAATGCGAGATTGCAAAACTTTTCGTTATTCACTCAAAAGAATAACAATACACAACATTCAGGATAGGATCACAATTTTATTTTAAAGACCACATCAGTAAATGGTAAGAAATCTTGCTGTATTTTACAAAATTGCAAAAACAGTTTTTGCATTAAACTTGTGTGGGCTCTCTCGCTTTAGCTTGTGGTTAGAACTGACAATGTGTCTGCGCAGTTTAAATCAGGCTCTGAGTTTTGGGAAGACTAAAATTGAAAAAAGCATACCTTTTGTTTAGTGAGGGTTATGGCGACCAGAATGTTGGAAATACTAAGGAATTTACTGTATATTAAAATATCATACCATTCAGATTGCACCATGATCCTGATAGATTTTAATATTTTATAATAAAAATTTACAAATAGAGCTTTAAAGCTTTTTATAAAAGCTCAAAGGAATGTTAATAGTGGTAACAGAAAAAATAGTACCCTACAAGAGCAAGGTGTGAGCAATAATAGTGTTTACAAATCTAGAGGACTCTCTGTGATCTGTTGCCTTAGGGTAAATCTTTAATTTTTGAAAGTTTCCTAAAAGTTTCGTAGTCGTCGCGTTCCAGTCGAAGAAAGGTCTCAGAAAAAATTTATCTTCGATAACTTCGCCAGTAGTAAAAGCAAAAATCACCACCGGCGATATAAATAAACTTAGCGTTAGGGACATTCACTGCCAGTTTTGCGAACTGTAAGGTTACCTCCATGCGCTCCCTCTTTATGCGAAGATTTCTTTCCGGATTCAAGATCTGTCAATTGATTTTTCTTCCATATGCTAGCAAACGATCCAAGTTTATGTTTCCGCCACTGGTTTCCGTTGAAAGCCCCGTAAATGCTATTGCAGCACTCTTCGAAGTTATCAAACCGAGAAAACAGCGAAACTGTCAGCTGGAAACAAACCTATTCCTCGAATCTCACATTCAGTTGGTCAGACTCGCGTGCAGCTCAATTCTATCGATTGAAGCGGTTGCTGCACACATACGGAGCCTAATGTAGTAAGATCGAAAGAGTCTTCCTAAACAAGAACGCATCGAAGTGGGAGAAAAGGGAACATTGTTGAGCAGGGTTCTTGGAAGAAAATTGTCATGCTGTGTGTACTGCGTTAAGTAAATGACGTCACAAAGCATGGTAGTCAAAGATTTGATCGTAGTAGCACTTTAACTCAGAATCCTTCAAAATCGCTCAAAAAACCGCTTTTGAGGCAAAAGGACGACAATATACCACAGGTAAGGTAATTCAACGTTTATTTAATATTGATTTATAGACATACTTAGCGATATATCGCTGTAGGTGAAGCAAACAGTAAATCCAGTACATTTACCATAAAATAACAATTGGACAATTGCACGATGACGATATTTGACTACAACTACCAGAATTCATTTCGGTTTTGCTTTGTTATTTAAATTTGTCAATCCCGCTGAGGATTAAAGAACAATAGCCTTAATTTGCACAAGAAAACAACAAACTAAAGGATTCTGGTAGTTGTAGTAAAATGACGTCATCGTGCAATTGTCCTATTGGCACACACGCACATTGTGCGGGCGCCCTGAGGAAAGACTTGCGTTCAGCAAGCGATCAGCGTTATCAGTTGAAGTTTTTAGCCCAGCTAAAGCAATAATGATTCCGCTAAATTGAAAATCTTCGCCTCAAATAAAGGTTCCGCTTCTTCGGAGTAAGATGATTCGGGGGTTACTCCCTTTTATTAAAAACTAAATCATTGGATAATGCAATTCTAGCATTTTGATTGGCTTAGCCGTTATGGTATATGAGCTAATATACCATGTTCTCCATATATGGTCGGTGTACGCGTCAGTTTAAAATTGGAAGCTAGCTGAGATTTTTTTTCGCGAAGGATAGAACGGCGCCCGAAGCAAATCGTTTTAATTCATTTCTTAGAATACTAGAAATGCAATTTCATCGAAAGAAAAAAGACAAAAACAAACAAAAAAGCCACAAGAGCTTGTTTGAAAGTTTGTGGAAAAACACATGAAAACACATGGAACTAAAGTACCTTGACCAGCTACGAAAGAAGACAAGTGTTGTTTCTTCATGATCGCGAAGCCATTCGCCGATCGAGTCACTCGCCGATAGATAACTGCAGCTTGTTTATCCGACATCAAGAATATAAATCACAAGTAACCAGCTACAAATACAGGCTATGCTGCCATTCACTAGAGCAATCGAGGCGGCAGTATAGCTTCTTTTCTCGTTGAGCAAAACCAGCTTGTGGCTTCAAACAACTTCATAACAAGCGACCGAAGTAATACCGGTAGTTTTTCTCCGTTGTTCTTTTCTTTTATAACTGCACCGAAAATCCAAATTCATAGTAATTTCGACGGCTGTCACTTAAAAATTCCTTTCCTTCACATTATCTGCCAGGTTTTTTAAGCTGTTCTGCTGTGTAAAATCCTAGAATCACGATGAGTTTTTAAAAAACTAATGTTCATCGCACAATGTTTTGATTTTTCATTCATGCAGTCTAGGCGAGCCCGGTTCGCGCGTTGACAGTTTTGATAGACGTGTGACATGTCAATAGCGGAAGTCCCTTGTCTTTTCCGGTTTGTTCTAGTCGGGGCGATTCAACGAGATTTTGTGGGCGTTTTTAATAAAACAATTATTCCACTCGGGCTTGTTGGATATGAAATGATTATAGCCAACTCGGCGCTATGCGCCTCGTTGGCTATCTATCATCTCATATCCAACGCGCCCTCGTGGAATAATTGTTAAATATAAGCCATATAGGTATGTTCCGCCCCATTGGGTAAGGTTTTGCGCCGTTTTGGTCTGAAACACTTTGCCCATTTTGGTCGGGAATCGGGTATAGTTTTCGAGGGAACTGCGGAGTCTATGAACCTATTTATCGTTTCAATTCCAAATGAGTAAGAAAGAAAGAGAAATATGCGAATTCGAAATGGATTTGAATAATTTTTTGTTTACGCTCTAATCTAAGTAATGATAACATAATTGCTGCCTAAAGGCCAGGTTTAAAAATGGGCATGGATTTTAGAGGTCTAGTCTGAAAACGGGTGTGGGAAATGGCATTTTTTGGTCTGAAATCGGGTCAGGATTTGAAGAACCGGGCGGCACACTCCCACCGAGAATTCCCAGGAGTACCCCCCAGGGATGATCGAAGATTCTTACGTCACAACGCTCGATATCAGACAAGTCGATAACTGTGGGGTTAATTTGGGAGGCATGTTGACGAACTTCCATAACTTTTCCTTTCGCCAATCGCCTGAGAAATTTAGAGACCACAGGTTTTGGACCTTCGCTTTCATTCCTTGTTGATACGGGATGCCACCTGTTAAAGACGCACAAAAGGTTATTCTGACTAAAGAATATATTCCAACTAAAGAGGACACACAAAGCTGGTGCATGAGGGTCTTAAGGAATTCTGTAAAAGTAAAAATTTATTTGAATATCTGAAACTATTAGTGCAGCTAAGAACACCGCACTTGCAGCGCGTCATGTTTGTCAGTGACCTTCATGCTGTTTTTCCAAACAATCCCAAGAAGCTTTGTGGCCGCATATTGTTTCCAGTTTTCACTCGTTAAGAGCAAAGCGAATTCAAACCTTCAAAAGAGAAAATGGTACGATGGGAAGATTTTTATTTCGATATTTTACCGCCAGTTTATTATTAATTTGTATTTATATTCCAGCGTAATTCTACCAACAATTCTCCGATTAGTATACAAGAAGTGGGCTTCCTCATCCCTACCTTTCAATCAGTTTTGCTTCTTTCTAAACCCCAAGTTCTCATTATTTAATTTAAAAACGGAGATTTCGTCGCTCCTATTAAAATCCAAGAACGGATCTGATTAATCTTGGCCAATTGATCTGGCCATGCCGGATCTGGCTATTTTATCTGAAGCTTTTCCGGCCGTATCCGCTGATGTAGGCTATATCTCACTTATTCGCCTATCATTTTAAAATTAATATTGTACGTTTGGCTTTGCTATTATAGCCAGAAGTAAGTCGCAACAATTTTAATACATAGATAGATCTATTCGACTTTCTTTACACATCTCCATGGTAAGTTTGGAAAGCAAAGCATCTATTAAGCACCCGCGCAATCGGTTTTATCAGTTTTCTCATAGCGGGAGTTATGTTAACCCCATAGGCCCCACAAGAGTGATCAGCTTAAAATTTCGCCTTGTAATGTCATTGCTTTATTTTAAAAACACAGTAGTCCTGAGAATTAAATCACAAAAGGTGAATTATATCCTTGATACTTGAACAAATTCTCTTCACTACTTCTATAAGAAAAGTACGCGGACAACAAATGAGAATTTAAAGGCGAGAGGGTTCAAAGCCTTAAGTGACAGGAGAAACATGACTCACATTCCTCTAAATATTAAGCTCCACCAGCCCTCCTTACATTATGGCATTGCTCTTCCAGTATGTATCATAACTGCCGCAAGACTCATCTCCTCAGATGGCTATTTCATTAAGCTTATCACCCTGAAGTTCTATGAAAGACCAGGAAAATCGCAGCATTATCAGTAGGCTACGTAGCAGTAGTTTTCCAAGTTTGGAAAGCACGAAAGACTCGCCAGGGCGTTGGGCAAAAAGCAGCAAAACAATAGCCCTCTCCATCGCTTCCCCGCTCTTTTGAATCTGCTCCTTTAACCGCGCGCCCCTTTCGCATAATCTCACGCTTGGCTTAAAGAAAACGAAAGCGACACTGAAGCGACTTTTACGAAGGGTACATTCTCAGCGACTTTGTTGTTTTTCGCTTGGATTTTGTTGATATTGTTGTCCGTAGCTATGGAAAGACTGATTCAGTGGTAGATGATCCATCTGATCATGTCTGATCTTAAGGCACATTATTTCCTTTCTTAACTCAGTAATAATCCTTAAAATTCCATTCATGATCTCACCTAATTGGATTTTAGTAAAGAAACACACCAAAGTTTTATAGCGTTACTAAAAGTTTTGGGGCAAGGGATGGCGCAGTGGTGCTCGCCTCACATAAATAGGGCATTTGCACGATGACGTCATTTAACTACCACGGCTAGAATCCTTCAGAATTTTGTTTTCTTGAGCAAATTAGGGCTTTTGTTATTTAATCCTCGCTGGGATAACCGAATTTAAATATGAAAGAAAAAACGAAAAGGATTCTGGTTATATTAGTAAAATGACGCCATCATGCAAATGGCCTATTTGGCCCGGGTTCAAATCCCAGCGTCGCGCCATATGTGCGTTGAGTTTGTTGTTGGTTCTCTTCCTTGCTTCGAGAGGTTTTTCTCCGGGTACTCTGGTTTTCCCCTCTCCTCCAAAACCAACATTTCCAAATTCCAATTCGACAAGGAATCAGGTAGACGAGAAACCACTTTGTGGATGTACTAGTTCCAAATCATCATTTATTATTTATTTTATTTATTAAGTTGCACTAATCACTGAAATGAATGCTCATTGAATAACGCTGAATAACGACGCCTTTATAAGCGAACTTTAAGGACGTAAGACTCTTAGTTTGCTTTTTCTTGCAAAGAATAACTGAGGGGTACTTCAAATATTTTGCTGGCAGACTGCATGGTAGGTCATTCCATTTGCCGGGTCTGCCACCCTTGCCAAACATGTTTCCACAAGTTTCATTACCACTACCATCCGGACTTGTGACGACTTTGTTTTGTTTAGTTTTTTTTCTTTATTTTTGCTGTAAACCAGCAGAGAATCCATATACATTAAAAGAAGAGACTGCAGATCCTTATCTTAATTAATCAGCTGATCTAAAGTCTTGTCAGTTTTGATCTGCTTTTTTGTCACTTACGTTCTTCATTAGCTTTACTCAGAAAGGCGCCTCAAATCAATTGGACTTTTCTATTCGGTTGACATTTGGCCTTTTTAATCTGTTTTGAAAGTTTTTCACTTAGTTTGCTTTTTTCTTGCAAAGTATAACTGGGGTATACTTCAGGTTGTCTGAAACAAGAGAGCATGATATGTCGTTCCACTTTCCTGCCCGACCTCCTTTACCGAACATGTTTCCACACTTTTCTTGCACGCTGTTCGGCTCGCCCCTCCCCCAAGCCGTGTAACCATTTGCTATTGCAGCGCCATCTATCCAATAAAACTTATTGTCGGTTTTGCGTACGAATCCCAGCCAGACCCCCCAATCCTGGACTGTTGACTGTTTTATTACCAGTTTGAATATAAAGGCATTTTCAGCTGCAGATCTGATTATAGCGAGATCTCCTCCGATCATCTGGCATATCCTTCGAGCATGAGACCAATTTAAGGTTGGGATGTCAATAATGAGATAGCTGTTATTGGCAAAACTAACCCAACCGTCTTCAGGGCAAACTGTTAAAAAAAGGAATTCAGTTAGACACATTTTGCTTTACAAGTTTTACGAGACATAGTTTGGCAAGTTTTTATAAGAGAATCCTTGATTAAACACATCACTTCCCATTGAAAAAACCCGGGGGAGTGGTCAGCAAAGATTTACCTGGAGAGGCTCCGCCTAGAGGTCCAACTCATTCCCCCTTTCTTTCATCATGTTTACAGAATAGATACCCCGCCCTTTTTCGTATACAGGTATGTACGTTTCACAGCAAAATGGTACCCATTTTGTCCTACTTCTGAAGAGCACTAAATCGACGAGTCTTCCTATAGTATGAATGAAGTTTTGATTAAAACGGCCCGTGCAACACCCTTAAAATACCTTTACCAGTATAAGGATAAATTTCCGTGTGCTTTCATATCATGACTTCAATTCGCGAAATCCCTAGGCCGTTACAAAAAGTAACTTCTCAAGAATAGAAACACAGATAAACCTCGAATTACCTCTAGATGTCGATTTTTTATGCAAAGAGTCGATCTTGTATTTCATCTCCATCAACATTTTACGGTCATCGTTCCCTAGGCCCCAGTTGTTGATCTGATTTTGGATGTTATTAACTTGTTGGGGTCGCTGATCATCACCAGGTGATTTCACGTTGAGGTTGGTAGGCGTTCCTTGTGACGAACCACCAAAACCAAGGATAACTGCAGCTGCAAAAACGATTAACAAATTACGAAACATGTTTGAGGGCTCGCCCGAGCAAATGAAGTGTCCCTTGCAAATGTGCGTGTCTTCTAAGGACTAGGAATTGTTATAAATGCGATCTTTTATGGGAAAACAGCCAAACTAAATAGCGGAATGTGCGGGAGATAAAGTAAAAAAAAAATAAGCTCGCTAATAGCATTAGGCAGGTGCCAAAGAGTATGCCTGCGCTATTATGTTTAGATTATAGTTCATACCACTTTCTGTTCCAGGTCAAAATTAGGCAAAACAAGCAGTGCCTGCATGCTAGTACTGGTTACTTTGGCCTGATTTTCATTTGTGTAACCTTCCCTCAGACACACAGAACAAACCGATAAATCGTAACCTGTAAATTGGCCGCCGCCTGAGGAATATCGTGTGTTAGAACCGACCTTTATAACATGAAATTGTATTTAGGGGCTGACCAATTAACTTTAGAAAAGGAAGGGATGGACAATGTAGATGGGGAGTTGGGGGATTTTGTTGGCCAATCATTTGTTTTCCTATCCTACTACTTTTTTCTCTAAAATCACCGAGGCTCTCCCCCAAAAGTCACATTTCTCTCCTAAAGTTAAGGATTGATAAGTGAATTTCTTTGCAATAGTTTATTGTTTGAAGTAAATTATAAATCTGTTGACGGGATTTTCGCTTTTATCCTTCGGGCTAAATCTACATAATATATATTTTTTTCGTACTTCGAGTTAACAACAAACAAGAGCCCTTCTTGGAACTGTCCAGCTGCCACCAGTGAAAAGACACAGAGGTGAACATTTCTCCGACAAAAGGTTCTCCGTTGACAACTCCCATGTTTTAAACGCGTGGAGAGCTTCTTGCTTCATTGTTACGTAAATTTTCGATTTTGGTATTACCTTCTGTAAGGTGTCCGAGGTGGAAAGCCAATATATTTATTCTCCTGACAAAGTATCAATAAAAGACGACATACATGCATGATATAGTAACAGTCAACACATGGCAATATAGTACCTCAGTGTATGGAAGAAGTCGAGCTTTGGCCACGCCCTGGTTTCAACGAAAAATTATCACTCAACTACCTTCGGCCTAGTAAGCTGTTTCAATCCAGTATCATGTGGAATACTGTTGTTAAAGCTCGCTGTCAATTCTTTGCAAAAGAGGTAAAAAGAATACAATATCACCAACCTCGTGTTATGAAGCTTCTTTAATAATCATAAAGATTACCCTTTGTCGGTCTTTAATGTACAGGTAATCCTAAAGATCTTAGCGCTTAAAATGTATTCATTATGAGCAGTACTTTGAAGTCACGAAGAAAGTTAATCGTAAACCCGCAGTATCAATCATTTCCGCTTGAATCTTAAAATAACATGAACCTTGATGTGATCATTACATTATATTATTATTTCGGAGTATCTAGATCATTACGATTGTTCATGAAAGTGGCCTCTTTAGTTTCTGCGGTTGTTAATCACTGTACACGACGAATTTATTTCGTAATTATATGTTCCTTGTGTAGCAAGGCTTCATGCTAATGGGCGAATGTGCATGTGTTTTAAGGAGTGAAAATATGTTTGTAAGACTCTTTATGGGAAAACAGCCAAGACCTTTGGAATGTGCGAGGACCTAAAAGGAAAGATAAAAAAAATGATGCTGTTTAAGGCTCGTGCCAATCAAAACAAAAAGGCAGAGCTGTTGTGTTACTGACCAGCGAAGAGAGAATTATAGTGAAAGAAACTGTCTTGGTGCAAAATGATAGGTTTAATTAATTGTTTCAAAACTAACGGCTGTCTTTGGAGATCCCTGGGATATTTTAATGTTTAATTATTCAATTCAAATAAAAACGAGTGAAATTTGGGAGGACATGAAAAGAAAAAATGATACACCTATGGTAATGTTGCAGAGGCAATCGATTAAACAAAAGAAAGTTTAAGCTATTTTGGCGATTATCGAATCCTGGATCACGCCTGAACCGCATCCTGCTAATGAATGAAGTGTTACCCACTAATGTGCGGTTCACACTTGCCAAAGAGTGTCACAGAAACCTATCCGATATTAAACATTCCACTTTCAAGATCGGCGCTGTAAACAGACGCCCTATTCTATTTCGGCCCTCTTCCAACCCTTTAAGTACCCTCACCCCCCCTCCCACCCTCCCCTCTCCCTACTCCCCTACCCCTTCCGCTACCTATTTTCCTGGGCTCCCACCCCCTTGTCCTTCCGACGAGCTTGTAGTGTTTTTGTTAAGTAAATTTTCGATCTTGCTATTACTTCCGTGGAGGTGTAGTTGTCCTGGATAGGACGTCAATATATTTAGTCCTCAGTGTAGTAATGAAAACCGACCTACAGGATGACACGCATCATCACGCATGGTACATGTATCTGGCTGGTCTGGTCAAGTAGAGCTTTAACCACGCCTTACATTGTCTTATTCAGATCAGGCAAGTTTTTAAATAGTTGTCCCCTATAACGTGTTTATCACCCCAATCACTGGTTTCAAATAAAAGTTAATAAATCACCCAATTAGTTTTCAACTTGATATAAGCTTGTTTCAAACTATACCTCCGATGCTAGAATGTTTTTGTTAAAGCTTCAGGTTGTTGTCGATTTTTGTCCTTTACTGATGTAAGACCAGCCTTTTGATATAAAGCTACTTAACGAATTATTAAGGTAAGCCCCACGGCTTACTTAGCTTACGCTGTGTCTGTGTTCTTTGCACCATTAATCCGCAAAAATCCTCGCGTTTAGTATGAACAGTGCTCTTGGATGTTATGCAATCCAGGCTTGAATTGCACCATCGTATCCTTACATTACTTATTTATTGCGTTGTATTTCACTTGTATCTCAGTACGTGTGCGCGTACAATTTTATTTTGAGCGCACACATTATTTGTTTATTTATTTAATTGACGTGTACATTTAGTTCGTTGATTAACGTCTTATTTTTAATTTGCGTTATTTTCCTCACTTATATGTGTTGTCCCTGACTGTACATGTGCTCACATGGTGGGTGGCTCCTCCTAAAATGTTCTGCAATTGGTATAGGATTTAATGGAGCCAAAACCAATTGTGGAATTGCACGCATTTTAGGCATCCTACTGATGAACAGTTGCGACACGTAGATATATTTATTTTTAGCAACTAATATAATTTGCAGTCTGTCTACTTTGAATTTAATATGAGCTGCAGTACTTTCAAACGTTATGAAGAGAGATAATCGTAAAGATATCAATCATTCTCATTCGAGTCTCAAAATAAACATGAACCTTGATCTGACATAACACAAATGCCATCACGACCAACGACAGAACGAAGGTTTGCAACAGCAGCTAACAGAGTCAATCGCCTATGCAATAGTAGAGTATACGTACCAACAGGGACAATAAATTCTCCAATAGGTGTGATACGGTTGCGGGACTGGTTCCGTTATTTAAGGCAAAATCGGCTTTGAAAGTATGCACTGTTTGCGAGATACCGAAAATAACCATCGGGATTACGGGATTTGCATTGGGTCGGGGTGACGGGATTGAAGAACCCTATTGGGTATCCCCCAACTGCATGTCCTGACTGCACGTAACAAAGGCGTTTAAAAACTCTTGCTACGGATATATATTTCCCTCTTAAAAAGGCCTGAGGCGCGAACATGGAAACACATGTCCATGCCTCAGCTGCGAGGTCGCCCTCACCCGTCAATTCTGTTGTCCCCAAAGTGAAAGAGAGTTAAAAGGAACCCTCTCGGTACCCAGGGTATTGATAGCATTACCTACTGGATTAATCTCTATCGACAGGGAATAAAGCTGTTGTTTTTCCTTATACTCAAGCTTATACTTTATATCCGCTGGGAAGTGATTTATCCGGTGGATTGCTATCCACCCTTCGAACAACTAAAGGACCAGATTAGGATAAGCTTGCGAACGCTGACATATTTCCGGTCGTCGCTTTCCTCCACCCGATGTCTTTTTGAGTTTTGGGGTAGACCCTTTAAACTGGCCAAGTTTCATTGAAATCAGAGAGAGAGAGCATGAAGCACACCTGCCAGCTGGGGCACCCATGGATCAACCATCCATCCATATTCTTGAAATATTTCCACATCTTTTACAAGTTATATTCTGCCAATTCCGTTATTTTATTTGACTATTATTAAACCTTAAACCTTCTTTTATTAGGGCTCTAAGTAATTTAAAGCAAGAACAAAAAGTCTTTACTTACAACTTCCTCAGTGCACTTCATCAAATTCAGTCTTCACGTCATCGACAATTAGCACAAATGGAGCCCGTTATACTTTGGAGATGAAAAACTCGTCTGAATCTCGAAGTCGTTTCATGGCCTTCTGGAAAGCAGCGCTAGTCCTGTTTCCACTTCTCAGGTGTCGATAAAAAACATCTCATAATCACCATTGTGGCTTCCTCAGAAATTTTCCTGTGTGTTACCAGCACAAAAAGAGCACCAGCAAAGAAGAAAGCACATGCCATGCCAACCACACCCTCAGACGATACCTCTCCTTGGGCATTATGGCAGCAACTTAGCACAACCAGCCTCGCCCTCAGGCTTGTATATCAGACATTTTCAACATGTTGTCCATTGTCCTCCTCCATAGCAACACTAGTCTTGAATTGCCAACCGGGGTTTGAGGCCAATGCAATTTTACCAGTTTCCTTTTTTCCGTGTGCTGCGATGTGTTTAGACCAAATTAAAGAGACTGATTCCATTCTCCGAAGCACCTCTTGTTTGGTTACAATTTCTCCCGTAAGTGGTTGAACGTTGAGAATTTCGTTTAATTTTTTTGCTTCCTAATTGGGCAACATGGAGCCTTTTATAATATATAATTAAGACATACAAAGATTGGAAGGCATCTTTTTATTTATGATACTAAAGCACATTATTTGATTTCACATTTAAATGATATGGAAATTCATGAAACAAAACGTTTTATTTCCAAAGGGTTTGAAGTGGGTACAACATTGAGTTAGCCGAATAGGTCTATCTAGCGGCGAGCTAAGGTCCCAGAGTAGGCCTGTACGGTGATAATCC